CTTTCAGGCCAGGGTTCTTGTGTTAACATAAAATTCCTGGAGAACACCAGGGCATTTCAGCTTTCTCTTTATTCAAGATGCTCCAAACACCCAGTTTCCTAATAATTACATTCCATGAACAGCATCTTGGACCGCTTGGATAATATTCCCTCATAAGGACACACATTTACTTAACCCACAGGGGAATGTCCTGTTATCTATTGCTGCTCACAACAAATATTTGCATTCCTCCAAAATTAGTTCTGGGTGTTCATAAGCAGTGTGTTAGAAACCTTGGAAAAGTATCCCAAAGTGGATCAGTGCATGGGTGAAAAAGATTGTTGAGATCTCAACACTACTCCAAGCGTTGATTATGCGGCTGCACACGGATTCTGAGAGACAGTGGTGGCCAATCTGCCCCTCCACCATACCTGGGTCCCTGGTGCCTTGTAGAGGAGGCACTTGTTATTAAAAGAACTGGTGATCACAGGACTGCTTCATGAGATGTTAATCTGTACTCAAAAGCTGGGCTTAATTTAACAAAGTTCAGAAACTGAATTATCAAGTTAAAAGGTATCAGCGTTTGTTACTGATACCTTTCCTGAAGGCTAATACATGGGGGAGGGGCTATGAATTGTTACAAGTGTCTGTCCACTCTGCAACTGTGATGGTGAATTTTTTTTTTTTTTGCTTTGATTGAATTTGGTGCTGTTCTTATGACTTCAGAGAGTGACCATGTCACAGGTAGCATGTGGCTGCTTTGTGAACGCTTTTCCAGGTCTTGCCTATCTGTTAGGACCTGTTCTTAGAAAGATGAGCGGGCTCTCTTTATTCTCAGCTAGCATGTTGCCTGCATTTGAATTTTTTTGGTTGGTTGTTTGTGGGGTTTTATGCACGTATTTGTAACACCCATTATGCCACTTGCTTACCTTTTAAATTCATATTCACGTGGACATGTAAAAGTTCTATGTTTTTGTGACTGTTCTTTTGGAAACTTTTTTCCCGCACTACTTTTACATATAGAAACCCCTTGTATAAAGCTTTATCCAGACAATAATCACTTCTTGGTATTAGTTGTTTTACCTTTTATTTTGTTGCAGTGTTGGGGATTGAACCTCAGCCTCCTACACACTAATGGTTGATCCATTCACTGAGGAACATCCCAGGTCTACTTCTGGAAATTTTTTTATTGAGGTTAATATTAACTTGTAACTCCTTTGGACTTATCTTACAAAGAAAGAAGGAAAGAAGGGAAAGAGGGAGGGAGGGATGGAGGGAAGAAGGAAGGCAGTTAGGTAGATAGGCAGATTGGCTTGGCCAAGTTTTAAGCACTGAGTGGTACCATGTGCCTGTCGCCCCAGCACTCAGAAGACAAAAGCAAAAGGATCATTTTTAGTTTTGCATCACTGTTTTCTCAGTAATTTTTCCTTCTCAAATTAATGTCTACTGATGTCTATGAAAAAATTATCTCTATTTACTAAGTTAACAAATTTACAAGAGTCGAACTTTATTAATGATCAGTTTGGTTGGCCTATACCTCCTCAGTACAGCATTGGAAAATATTACATAAGACAAACATATATTATGATATTGTGATCAAAAATCATAATATAGACTTTCACACTGATTTGATATCATGACAAAACTTTCCTTCCTTAAAACTCATAAGACAGAGCACTAGAAAGAACAGCAGATGAGAAGCCTCTAAAAGAATACCAAAAAATTAAGAGAAAGACAGGAAAATGAGTCAATACTCCATGTCAATAATAAATGCAGCCACCTTGCAATGTTGGGTTTCTTAAGCCTACTTGATAGCTGAGAACTCAGAGCCTGAAATGTTACTCCCCACAGAGCCTTGGTGGCTGGCACAGGCATTGACAGACCCTGTCCAAGGCTGTTAAGCACCAGACTGGTTCTGGTTGGGGTGCAAGAGTTCCCCAAAAGGGCCTTTTCTTTTGAGGAAACCATAAATACTTTGGGAAAGAGTAAGAGTCAGCACTCCCTTCTGAACTTTCGAGTGGCAAAAATCAGAGAAAGAGAACAGTTTGAGGGCAGGCAGAAATTTTGACCCATCTTGGGTCAGAAAGGTAAGCTCTCAAGATCTGGTCCTGGGTCCTGAGCCTTGGCCTAGCCAGTTGCACAATACACTGGTATTTTCTCAAACACACGTTTCTGCAGGTTCACACGGAAATGTCAGAAAGCTTCCCCAGCCGTGATTGCGTTTCCCTTAGCGCCGGCGCTGGTTTATTTTGAAGTCCTCCTGGTCCCATCTGGAGCCAGAGGCCTCTGCAGAGACAAGCAGTGTCTTGTTCCCAGGCAGGTCCCGCAGTGTACCAGCAACGCAGCCCTACGGGCACATCCCTTCTCAAGCCCCTCTGGGAGCCACCTTTGTGGCAGATTCCATTGGGTTTCACAGAGCCTGGAAGAGGGGAGGCAGGGAACACTTGGCACTGCCCGCCAGTCTCCCGCATTCAGGGCTATTTGCACACTGCTCTTGGAGGGAGCCCGAGCCAGCCCTAACAGGCGCTCCTGTTAGCCCCATTGTCTGCACATGGCTTGCCTTTTCCCAGCTGACCTGCCTGCGAGTGGCGAGATGTGAAAAGTTAGAGACAAAACTGGCTTCCCCAGAGCGAAGGGAGCTTTCTTGTACAGAAAGGAAGGAAATACCTCTGTGGGATTTCATTTTTCACCCCCTCTTCATCCAAAAAATACAAAGAGACTCTGTCTTAAATGCAAACGTCGGCTTTAAATCTTTTAGGTTTGGATTAACGCTGCAAAGGAAAAAAAAAAATCTGACAGGCTTTCAGATATGACACAGAAAGTTTTTTCCCCTCAATTCATGTTGTTCATTTGTAAAGCCAAAGGCTGGGGGCTGAATAGTGGGCTCCACTGGCCGCATTCCTCGTTAGCATCACAATGGTCAGAATTAGCAGCCTGCGCTCCCAGTTTCCCTTGTCTACCAGCGACAGTTAACGCGAGGTTAATAGGCAGTGGCCAAGGCAAGAAGAAAATCTTTCTTCTTTTACCCCCCCACCCCACCCCAGTAAAATACGTGAAAAACAAGCCAAGGAATCATGGTGTTTTCAGTTATATGACTTAGAATCTTATCTTATCCTTTCCCCCAGAAAGAAAAAGGTATGTGGGTTTGGTATGATTTGGTTTTTTCTATTATCTTACAAGAAAGCTTCCTTGAAAGGACACAAAGCCCACTGAATTGATAGACATTTCCTATTACATAGTTATTGTTGGTTTTCACTATTGAGGATGTCAGCAAACATGTCAGAGATCATGTTTTGCTTATTAAATAAAGTGACTTTTATGCGAATATTTTTCACCTTGTTGGTGTCTAGAACCCATATGGAAAATTCTATTTTCTGGGGTTTTTTTATGATGGCATATTTTTATCCTGTTCAATGTTTTTATCCTTGTTGAATCTTGTATATAAATTTAAAAGACAAAAACTTTAGCATCCTTGAGTGACAGTCTGTATCAATACCCTATGTTCATGTAGGAAAAAAATGTGAGTAGTTCCTGATACTCCGTCAAGAGTCAAATATGTAAGAAATTGGAGACACAATTTAAAAATAATTATCCGCCTATTTGATAAGGATCAATTGATTAGGACTGCGTGTAATTGTGACACTACCTAGAAGAATTAAGTTCTAGATCATTTTTAATTCCTGAATTCAAGTTAAAATAAAAAAGCCTTCACGTATGATTTGTCACAGGATAAAAGTATGCAGGTGTAGAATTATAATAGTACATTTACAGATTAAATGGGTCCTGCAGACTTGCTCTTGACAAAAACTCAAAGAAGTGAAACCAAAATGTTTCCTTTTATTGCCCAACATTGTTCTTTTTAAATCTGTATAATCTAATTCTATTACAGCAGTATTTTTTATAATTGCAAACAACTAATAGAATTTATTACTTAAAAAAAAATCACATAACCTTTTTTTACAACCTGTAAGGTCTGATAACAGAATTTAAAATTTAGTTTTAAAAGGAGTTATTAAAGTTATTTTTAACATACCTTTATTTGGGGTTTCACATACTAAATATTTGGTTTTACTTTAGAAATAATAGATGTATACTGATACAATTTGCATGTCAGTGAACCAGAATTAACATTATGCCTAGTCAATGACCAACACAATAGAATTATTATTTTCATAGATATCATAACTTAATTATTCCATAGTCATAACTTGGATGATTTCTAATAACTTTCAATGTTATAAATATAAATGTAATTTTCATTTGCTAGAATTAGTTTTTGTTTCTAATTGCAATTTATTTTATATGCCATATTATTTTAATTCTAATTCAGAGCATATTTTGTTTCCTCAAAAAAATTGATATTGATAGTCTATCATA